ATGGTCATTTTAAGCATTTTCAATCGATCAAACAACTTGCATCGTTGTTATTTTCTTATGTTGATGTGCGAATTGTGTCTTACATTTCCTAAATCTTATTCACTTGTTGGATCTCCACCTGGGATGGAGTACCTTTGTACTAAGTTTATTAAGCAAATCATGTTGCAACTTTCATAGAGGTAACTATCGAGACTTGATTCTATTGTGATTTGCTCAATACACATCGTAGAGCTTATCATTATTGCACAGAAAACCACCTTCAGAACTATATCCAACTGAAGTTTGGAGATAGGTTTATGATGTGTAAGCGTTGCATCCAGGTGTTTTGTGTATTATGTCAATTAGACATCTTGGCATTGCTACCGACTTCAATGCTAGTTTCAAATTCCTTGAGTGTTGGCAAGACATCAAAAGACATGAACTCCTTGAGTTCCCCAAGTATTATCTGAACTTAAGATCATGTACATAGCCAGTCAAATCAATTTTTAAATATTTCTTAAAAGTGAAAATTTACGACTTGGAAACAAAAACATCTTTATTATTTTTTGAGCATTGGCAGAAGAGATTTTGTCTAAGGAAAATTTTTTTTATGATCTTCTCTGCTCCATGTCCTTGGGACTCCTTTCCTGGTGTATGCATTGAGCCTGTATGCTCCATGGGTGGCCCTTTGGTCAATGATGAACATGCCAGTCCACATATGGACCAACTTCATCTGGACCAACTTCCTAGTAGCTTGTTCACGCGCCACCAGATTGACCTTCTTTAGCATAAGGACCCCGGACGCAAAAGTGTTCTCTCTAATGTGCTTCTTGTAGTATTGGGTCATGTGCCTCTCAACCTCTTGTCAAAGGGTTGAATCTATCCACTTTTCTTCAACGAGATTGAGTGTGAGCATTGTCTGTTCACTGTTTGCCTCCTACCAGTCGGCTAGATTTTCCTGATCAATTGTTGAGACCATCACAATCTATTGTATATGTTGATTGTTTTCAACCGGCAACATCTCCTTCATTTTGTGGGACAACATGAATGAAGTTTGTAATTGTCGCCCAACTTTGAAATAAATTGGCTCGGGCTAATGATTTAGATGGTCAACATTTTCACCTCTTTTGTGTTCTGAGGAGAAGACATGTTCAATAATGCTTGTACTTTCTTCAGCTTTATGCCTTCGGGGATTAGAAGATAGCCATGGAATTTTCCTTTTGATGCCTCGAAGGTGCACTTTAGTAAATTTAACCTCATCTTATATTTGCTAAGGGTTTCAAATGTTTATTTTTAAGTCGTTTATGCATTGTTCAACTGACAGACTCTTAACTAGTATATTATCCACATAAAATTTAATATTTTTATGTTTTTTTTTTAATTAGTATATCCGTGAGACACTGGTAAGTAGCTCAATAATTGTAAGCCCAAATGACAATAAATTATATTAATATACACCCTCGCTAGTTATAAATGTCATTTTTTCTGCATTTGTTTGGTACGTATTGATTTGGTTGTAGCCGACCGACGCCGCCAACATTCATTTGGGAGATCATCTTATCGAACACTGACTTGAATAGGATGTTCATGGAGCTGCCAGTGTTGACCAAAATACAACATATCTAGTAGGTGCATATCATCATTGTAAATACAATGACATCGTTGTAAGGATTTCCCTTGAGGTGAGCGTTGATCAAAGTGATAGGTCGATGGGTGCTGCACTTTTTAATAAAGGTAGTTGCACCTAGCTCTCCCAACCAAAGCTTTTTCTAACTAGCTAGTTGGGTCAAATCTCCTCCTCCAAAAATTACCACTACAAATCAAATAATGTGGATGGCATTCGCTTGAACTGACGCATTTGGGATTTGTTCTATCGGGGCCTTTCCTTGCCTTTGGGTCACTTCTATTAGTGTCACAAATTCCTTGAGCTTTCCAACTCTTTTCAACTTCTTAACCAAGCTTGGGATGTATCTGCATTCCTATGTATCATGGTCATGATTCTTGTGATAGGCACAATACTTCTATGTGTCCCAGAGAAAAGCTTTGGCTCTTATTGGTGGTGCTTTTGTAAAGTACTCAATATTTTGAATAGCCTCCACTAGCTCCGCTGTAGAGACTCTCAACAAAGTGGCCTTTGGTGCTTCATGGTCATTAAACGACTACTCATGATAATAAGCCGACTGTTGGTCAGGATATCGAGACCAACCTCCTCGGTTGTGGCTTCTATTGGCGCACCCCACCCCACAACCCACTTTCTGTCTCACGCCGCCCAAGAGGAAGGACGTAACAGCCTCCACCTATCGTCTCTAGGGGCCTTCTTCTGCAAACAACAAGTGATCGACTATTCCCTGGAGGAGGTGAGGATGGAGTTGTACTAATCGGCCTAAATATGATTGTTCGTCTGCTAAATTTTTTTGTCATTGGAGACCCAAAGCATAATGAAAGGGTCCCTCCTTCATCCCCTGGGCTAGGGTGGCAAGTGCTACCTTGGGTTCCAAATCTTACACTTCTAACTTCTCCTTCTGGAAATGAGTAATAAATGAGTGTAGGCTCTGGTTTTGCCCTTGGTTGATTTGCAGTATGGCCTACAAAATTTTATGCTGCTTTTGGGCTCTAATGAACTGCGCAATAAAATTCTCTTGAAGTCGGCGAAGCAGGTGATCACTTCAGGCGGTGGTCTATTGAACCACCTCAAGGCCAACTCCCTCAACTTGGTGAAGAATAGTCGACACTTCAGAGTGTCAGTATTCCTCAGTAGAAAGATTGTTGACTCAAAAGAGACAATATGGTTGGTCGAATCAGTTCAACCTCTATAGGACTCTAACAAAAGGATTTTGAACTTCTGTAGGGGCTCAACATTAGAAATCTGTTAAGAGAATACAATTTCAGGCTGACAGAGCACCTTAGTACAACTGAATCGTTGTCTATCAATCAAAGCGGATCCAATGCCTTTTATCAATCAGAGCGGATCCAACACTGTCTTGGTACCAGGAACTTGCTACTCTCTCGAGGGCTTGAGTCGTTCTTTGGTCATTGTTCGCTAGTGCTTCCTCCCAAGGGTTCTCCTTCCTGCCTCAAGCTACTGCTTCTCCGATGGCTTCTAACATTTCCCCCATTATCTGGTCCTTCCAACTTTTATATTTGTTGTTGCACAAACTCTCTAATGAACTCCATGTCTATAGTGTCTCTATGGTGAGTTTCTTCTCCTTGTTTGTTCCTTTTCTTATTGCTGATATGATCAACGCTCACCGCACATTTTAGGATGTTGAATTTAAATCTGTACCGGAGTCACACCCAAGAAATAGAGCATAAAATAAAAGAGAGAGAGCAAGAGCGAGAGAGAGAGAAAGAGAGACAGAGAGCAAAGTAATGAACAGTAGAATGAGTGAAATGTGTTTGATTGATTAGCATTTACTAAGGAAATGAGCCCCCCATTTATAGAAGAGATGGTACAATGTGTATAATTACATACTTACCCTTGATTTAATGGGAGTGTTATATAGCATTTTGGGTATTTATATAATGAGCATAAGGTTGGACTATCCTATCATTCGATGTGTTGAGATTGGCTGACATTGGGTTGGCAAGGCTCGTTTGATCGACTATGTTGACTTGAGGGTTGTCTATCGGCTCCTATTGATCTTCAGTCTTTCGGACTTAGCTTGGTCGGCTCGAGTCAACCGAATGACTGCTTTGATCCGGTTGTTGGCTATCACCCATAGATGAGGAGCTCTTGTCATCGGAATGTGACTAGGTTGTTGGGCAAAGGGTGAATTACCATAATGTGACAAGTAGTTCACCCTTTAACAACGTTTTTTGAGGTGTTCAAAGAGTATATCGTGGTGAGGACCCTCAATCTCCTGACGAACAGTCTCAAAAATTCTTATGAGGCGGTTGATAATGCTAGGGCAAGAGTTGGGCTAATGTCTTCTCCCGGCTCGATAAATCTTCAGTCATTGGCTCAGACGGCCTGCGTCTGATCGGCTTTAGGTCCCGACCCAAACGATATATACTTGGTCAATCAAATCTTTTGATCTTTCAGTGATGAGACTTTTAATCTTCCTTATGTGAGTTACCTCTGGCGGTAATTTTCTATCTTCTCATCAGTTAGATCTCTTCAAAATTTGTGCATGCAGAGCATGGTCTGAACTTTGATATAATTGGAAGAATCATATAATAGAGGAACGGAACTGCATGCAATAATTCATTTTTTTTTTCAGACGAGATTCAGAAAGAACATGCCATTTCATTAATGCTGCTCCCAATACGCTATTTGGCATTTTGTGGCGCATGATATGAGAAATTTCTATTTTTCAAATATTAAAATACTAAAAAACACTTACCCATTTTCACTTTGCGCAATATAATAATATTTATACTTTCATACTATTAAAAAAATACATACTCTCATATATTTTACTAATAATTACAACTAGACACTCAATTAAGGGCCCATTTGAGGCAATTTATTTGGTGAGATTAAGTTCTGAAAATGCACCTGACCTGTTTAGGTAAACTGCGCTTTGGCAGCTTGTGCGTTTTGAAAACGCTGAAAACTGCGTTTTCACGCCGCACTTATCTAGATGCCGTGGAAGCTTTCTGGTTGCAGTCTAGGTTTTTCAAAAAAAAACATAAAAATTTATAATAACCACCGCACCTAACTTATCAGTAGATTATTTTTAATCAACTTATCAACAAATTATTCAATAAGTTAAACTTTTTGTATTTCAGGGCTTTCCATAAAATAATTTTAATAAATAAAATTTAAAATGCCAAAGTAACTGAGAAGGTAAATAAATAAATCCTTTCTTACTACTTAAACATTCAGAAATTGAACTTTAATATTAGTTAGTGAAAGATTTGTAAGAAAACATACAATATCATCCATGATAATTGATGGTAGTCCACGCTTTCTAAAAATGTAAAAAAAATCAATACAATGAATTATGTAGCATATATTCAAATGCCCCTTCAATAAACGTCTTACTAGCCATAGTTTTCCATTTCAGGAGATTCACAAGAGCAGCATTGGCAGGAATGGCAACTTGATAAGTAAATATTACACAGATCTATTTCTTTTAGCAAAGCAAAATGATGCCAATAGAGATGAATGGCGTTCATTACATTGGGCATGGTTACAGCAGCTCACATGTACATCAACAAATGAACCGTCACTTTCTGGACAATTTTCACTTAATAGAGAGAAGAGAACATGACCGTTATCTGGCAATTTACATACAAGTAACTCCTAATTCATATGTATTTACATATCTAACACCGAAACAACACATTTACGTTTATACCACGCAAAATTTTCGTATCACAGAAAAAATACCACTATTTTAGCAATTAAAAAAGTAAAATACACCTTTTCATGCGTAGGTAAGGTGGCATGATGTAAAAATTGAAGTTTAGGTATTAGATATGTACATACAGAAGAATTAAGAGGTATATAGGTAAATCTTACAAAAAAAAAAAAAAAATCTAAATAGCAGTGGAGTTCCTAACTATGAAGGAAGGAAACACAGGTTCTGACTAGACTTATCAGCTTATACTACGACAAAGATTGGTGACAAAAGAATATACAATGAAATCACTACTGGTTTACCGAAGAATTCTCGATCGTTTTCTCATGTCTCCCGACTTGGCCTTGTTTCCCCTTGATTGTGCGAGGAGGAGTACCGAATGAGGTCGATCGAGAAGTGCTTTGAACTGGTGGCATCTGCGGGTTATGGAGCTGCGAAGCGAGGTAGTTGAGAGCTGTTACGACGTCGGCTATCAGAGGCCTCATTGTGGGCTGTTCTTGAACGCACATTGCGGCGACAGCGAGAGCTTGGTAAAGGCCTCTCACAGGGTATTGACCCTGGAGCATGGGATCAGCCATCTGAGAGAACTTCCTCCTGTCTTTGAACAGGGGGCGGGCCTACAATCAGATAAGATTTTAATATGTTCTTATCAAACTTTATATCAGATTTTGTTAGTCCTTTTTTTTTTTAATCTAATGAATCTCATGTAGAAATAGATAATTCATAAAGCTGAACTAAAATAGCAAGGATTAGAGAAATATGTTAAAATAACCGCTTGACTTTTGTAGGGGGTCATTTTAATCATAGAGTCTACAAAGTGTCAATTAGTCTCTAGACAATTTTAATAAGGGCTGACATAGTCCCTACTAAGAAATAATTAAGCTCCAATTTAAATAATACAGGGATTAATTTGACACTTTTATAAACTCTGGGATTTAAATGACCCCATGTAAATAATCACTGGAATATTTTGACACTTTACTCGCTAGGATAAAAACAAAGACGATAATGATGTCATATAACGAATTAGGTTAGTAATCCAAACAACAAGTTTTTAACAATATTGATGTTTTTGTTGATTATAACTCCATTAATTTTCATTCATACCTCTTTCTCAACAGAAACAAAATTATAACTCCATTAAGAGTTTTTTATTTTTATTCTTTGATTACTAATGCAAATGATAAGCCATCTCTATATTTACTTGACATATCCTGTAGACTTGTAGTATGAAGTTACAGCATACTAAAGCTGCAAACTTTTCAACCCTTAATCAACTGGTTTGAGGGGGTAGATGCAATATTTACGCAGGTAGATGATAATATGATTTAGAATGTATTTCTTGAAATGTAAATCTATGTTTAGACATTGATTCTATAGAAAAATTGTTCTTAACACCAACAAAATCTCTAGAAGGGGTGTTCAGTCGGATGGTTCCATCACTACAGTTCACTAAGGTCGAAATGATCAATTCCGGCCTTTACCGATATTGAAAGCAAAACTACCAAAGTTTAGTCCAAATTCGAACCACATGTTCGGCTGGTTCAGTTCAATTTTGCCAAAACCAAATTTCATAGAAACTAATCCAATATAAAGTCTACAGTTTCCAGATTGTGGTAAGGATTTAAACTCAATTTCAATTTTGCATTCAATTCAATTTGGGAAACAAACATGAAACAAAAAGCCAACATTTTAAATCCAACGACCAAAAATTTATTTCCAAGTCCAATTCAAAGCAACAAAATTATTTCAGTTTTGACCAATGAACGCACTCTTTTATCTAAGGTATCAAACAAAACGTGCTGCATGAATAGATAAAAAAATATCACAATAGATGAGCATAATAATTAGCAGTGATCTAAATGAACTAATTGTGGCCAAAAAAAAAAAACAATTTTTTCAAATTCACGAAGGTTTAAAATGAACCAATTCAGGAAAAAAAACATAAAAAAAAGCTATAGTGAAAGATCAAATCTAAAATTTATTAACTTTGAGGGGTATAGAAAACACTCACCCATGCAACTAGATTCTGCTCCCCTGCAGTTCTGGAATTATCAATAGCTCTCCTTCCTGTGATTAGCTCCAACAGCACAACCCCAAAACTGTAAATATCTGATTTTACTGTCAATTGCCCAGTCATTGCGTACTCAGGGGCACAATATCCATAAGTTCCCATCACTCTGGTAGACACATGCGTGTTATCACCAACAGGAGCAAGTTTTGCCAAACCAAAATCCGATAACTTAGGATGATAGTCATCTCCAAGCAAAATATTCGAGCATTTCAAATCTCGATATATAACTGGCGGAGTGGCTTTATCATGTAAATATTCTAGCCCCTTCGCTGCACCAGCGGCTATTTTCATTCTCATGTTCCAATCAAGTCGCTTCCTTTGTGGAGTAAGATCTGTGGCATTAGAAGAATGGAATAAATACAAATCAAAATACACGTGAACACAAAACACAACTTTGTGTGGCTCAATTCTGCCAATTGCATATAGAAAGAATGCCTTAGAAAATGATGAGTTCATTTTTCACTTAATTGTTAAAACAGATATCATCACATTTAAGGGGTTAAGAATTTCATTCAACCAAATAAGAAAATCCAATAAATTTCATTATTTTTCAAAATGTGGTTTCTAACATCAAGCACATGAAAAAATCAAGCAACATCCATGCTAATTTCAATTTTTCACTTAATTTATATATGAAAACAGAATCATCACATTTGAGGGGCCTTAAAGCTGCTTGTAGAGCTTAAAACCTAAGAACATTCAACTAAATAGTAGATAAAGTAAACATGTGTGTTTTTTTTTTTATCAGAACATAATTTCTAAGACCAAGCAGCCAAATGGACTCTTAGGGATTGTATGGTAACGGCTTTAGTACCTTTAGTAATTCTTATAAATCTAGCTACAGCATAATTTAGTAAATCCAGGAATTAAAACAAAACTGAAAAGGAAATGAGAAGGAACAGAATTTACTAAATCTTACATTTAAAATTGCCATTTTTTCTGTCTGAAAGATTTAAGTTAAATTCTGCTTAAATCTGTCACCAAACGACCCTCAAGCATTCAAAAAAAACAACAAAAACAAAATGAACAACAGCGTACCATAAAGATGGTCTTCTAACGATCCCAACGGCATGTATTCATAGACCAAGAGCCTTTGGTCGGCTTCGGCACAATAACCGATCAAGTTAACAAGATTAGGATGGTGCAGCAAACTGAGCATCAACACTTCAACCAGGAACTCCCGATTTCCTTGCAAACCATTTTGATCAAGTTGCTTAATAGCCACAATCTGGAGGCCAAATAGTCCATGTGGCATAAGATTGATAGGCAAGTTGAAAGCAATAGGCAATAAAGTCATATAATTATCTTATTCCTAAGTACAACAACCACAACAAGTATGTTGTGCAATAACAAATAAACAATAGTTAACCAACATTATAAAAAATTATATCAAACACAATATTAAGAAAATTGTGATGATAACACAACATTTTTTAGTTAAAACATAATCATCTTAACCTGATAACACCTATTGAGGGTCTGACAACTTCAGGTATTCTCATTTTACATTCATCCCTATCGGTTGCAACATGAACTACTAACTTTGGAGAACTCAAATTGCTTCAATATAAGTTGCTTAAAATAATAAACAAGAAGAACTAAAACACAATTTGTTGTTTCAAATAAGTTTGTATAGAAGAATTTGAAAAATAAAAAACAAGCATCAACCCAAATAAAAAACTGAAAGATAAGAGAAAAATGGAATGAAAAAAAAAAACACTTTTAGCAGGTATGAGTTTTCCTTGGGAAAAAATTTCAAGAGGCTTGTTGAACAAATAGATCAACAACGGTTACAAACAAAATTTCAAGAGGCTTGTTGAACAAATAGATCAACAAAGGTTACAAACTAACCTGGTTAGAGCTCTCCAACCAACCCTTGTAAACTTTGCCAAATCCCCCCTCTCCAAGAAAGCAATCGGCTCTGAAATTTTTTGTTGCGGCTGCCAGTTCCCTGAAGGTAAATGTCTGAGCAGAAATCTGTTGAGAACCACTATATGACAACTCCTTACATTCTGTAAAATCCTCCTTTTTGTTATCCACTGATTGGCTTGCCTTAGCAGACTTATCTACTGGGGAAATTAACAATAACATATGATCAAAATCTTGTAATACTTTCATTTGAAGGATTCTAAATATGTTTATAATGATGAAAATATTTATGGACTTCTACTCACATACAATCAAATGATAAAATCAAGTAAACTCAATGCTTTTTAAATATATTTTCTAGGAAGAATTGCTTAAAGTCTTAAGTGTTTAACAGAATTTAATTATGTAGTCTGTACATTTTCACAAAAAGTAAAAAATAAAAATAAAAGTAACTACTAGCATTGATCTTTTTTTGAAATCCTATCATTTTTTCCCTATTTATTACTTCAATATGACTATTTCCAGTTTGGATATAGTTATCCAAAAAACTAAATCTGATTATTAAGAGAAATCCATTGAATTTCTTCAATCTAGCTACTGAAAATTTATATATGATTATCACCAAACATACAGTAAAATCCATACATAAGAAGAAATAACCAGACACCATCAAGCAATAACCAAGTTTAGAGAGAAAGACAGAGAGAGAGAGAGTAAAACTTAGGGCATCCATGAGAGGTGCAAAATATAGATGTATATTGTATCAAAATAAATTATTCAATAAATTTGAAAAATAAATTAAATAGAACAATTTAATAATAATAGAGGCAACCCATGGTGCATCAGTTTAATTTCCTCTATTTTCTAAACTCAATTAAACAAATACCCCATAAGATTAATTCACTGATGAAATGACTACGATATCAAATAAGATCAAATTCTTCCACCGAAGCACCAACTTATTATTTTAGACGCAGAATAATCATTCCCATCTACAGGAATCATGTATAAAACACATATAGACATGTTCCTCTAGGGTTAAATGCAAAATTTCAATCATTACAACAGAGAAAAGTGCAAGAAATATAGTAGAAACAAAAACCCAACGAGAACAAACAAAAGACAATGGCAAGATTCAATCATCTGCATCAATGCACCGCAATCCGTACGTTCTCTTTCAACACAAGCAGAGGAACACGGGCCAGAAAAGCCACCACAACTCTACAATCAATCTAAACCCCAAATTCAAATTTAAAATTGAAAAAAACAATAGCAACGAAAGCCCTTCCAGATTAATCAAAGAATCACTTCCTGCTCAATCTGACACAGTCCATAGAAAACCAATATATCCCTGCTTGATCTCCACAAAAAAAAAAAAAATTAAAAAACCAACTATTTCTATTTCTAGAAGCCTCCGAACGAAAATTGACTAGAATCAGAACTAGTTGAAGTGGGTTTTACTACCAGAAGGTGAGGCGTTTGCGATCTGATCCTTCTTCTTAGTCTTCTTGCCGCTTTCTTTGGCGCATAAGCCACCCATCCCCTCACAAGCCAAATATCGTTTTTTCTCTCCCCTCTTCTCCTGCAGAGGATGCGAGCAAGTAAGAGAGTGGAAGACAGCTATCGAGAGAGGGAGAGAGGGAGAGAGGGAGAGAGGGAGAGAGGGAGAGACTCTCCTCTTCTCCTGCCGCGAAGGCGAGCAGGTAGAGAGTGGAAGACAGCTAGAGAGAGAGAGGGGAGAAGGGGAGGCGATGAAGAGAGAGAGAGAGAGAGCCTTTGGGATCTCCGTTCTCCGACCTATGACCGATGCATCGGTGGAGTTCTTGAGGCGTTTATGGACATAAATTAAAATTAAAATTAAAATAATATCACATGTTTGGTAAGAGAATTTCGGTCATAATATCGTAAATTTTTAACTAATGACGGAATTAGCGAAAATCAGACATGACAGGGGTAATTAAGTAATTTAGATTTATGTTGTTTCAGCTGTAATTTATTTCTGCTGTGTTTGCAGAAAAGTTGTTTTTCAAAGCTACATTAAAAAAAAAAAACAGATTTAAAAGTGTTATCCGTTGAAATAATGATTGTATTAAACCTAAAATTTAAGCACAGTTCAATTTAAATTATTTAGAAAATACAGTTTCGAAAGTGTTTTTTGTGATTTGAATCCAATGATAATTTATCAAATTTTTTTCATGCACAACATCAAAATGCAAGTTAAGATGAACAACAACCCAATCATACGAAATCTTTAAATTATGCCCTTCAACAGCAGCATAATAAGCAGCGATTGTTTTGGAGCGATTGTTATGGATCAAACGGTACGACTCTCCATGACTCAGATAGTCGTGGATATGAACATCTCAATCACAAAGACAAATTGTTGGGTTGCTTAATTGAACTCTAAAATTCTAATTTTAGATCATCTCAACAAAAAAAAAATACAAATTTGCTTACAAAAAAAAAAAAAAAAACAATGCCAAAATAATATAAATTTGCTTAATTGAACTACATAAACTTTATTAAAACATATGCAAAGCTAACAACAATAGAAGTAATGCCAAAATAATAAAATCAAACATGAATAAAGCCCTCACAAGAAATTTCAGGTCCTTCACGCCATTTTTTAACTGAATCTATCTTCTCGACAGCTCGCTCCTGTATTGCATCACTTGGCTCTTCAACACACTGAAAAAACTTGCAATCTTTATTTGTTAAATTCTTTGGGCATCTGCAGAACATTCGTCCTACATTGTCGCATTTATGAGCTGTGAAAACAACACATAAAATATTGCAATCACAGAAAATCGGTCGATGCTTAATCCCATTGGCACTTCTTTTACAGTAATGAAGCTTAATAAAGAGAGTACACTTGAAATAACATAGAGTTAACAAAAATTAGTTATTGTGTTGTTCATAAAAGAAATGAAGGTAATTAACCCTCAACTCGAGTGCCAACAATATGAAGAACTCCCTCTTAACAGGATCTTCAAGCAACTTCAGGGAGTATAGGTACAAGTGCATGTCCTCATAAACTTATGCGGTTTAAAATCCTCATCGCATCAAGAATAAATGAGGGGGTTTTTACTGTGTTGGCATCATAAGATAAGTTGGTACATGTTGCAACCAATTCTGATAGTTGAATCCTCAGATAAGCAAGGGCAAGATTTTAATTGCTACCAGCCCTTACTTTTAAAGAGGTTGATGTCCTGGTGTGGTTGGAATCACTATGCTCGGAGATGTCTGTTAGCTGGAGCCCAAACCCGCGAACTGCTACCTGTCCCGATCGCGAGAAGTCGTGACCTTCCGCTCTAACTGTTCTCGCGATCTGCCGTTCGCGAATCTTCACGAACATCTCGCTTATTGTTCACGTCTCCCACGACTCCCTAATCATTCCCGCCTCCTCTTCGTGATAAAAGGAGCGGCTCTCCTTTAGATTTAATAGAAACTCTTGTGTTCTTCTTCGGGCTTCCTCGGGACAGAGGAAGAGAAGTGCAAGTAATAGTTCCTTGCGGCAGAAGAAAGAAGAAAGAAAAAGAAGATTGTTCTCCCTTGGCTTCTTATTGGTGGCTTGTGGCAGAAGAGAAATTGGGTTTATTTCTCTTGTAAGTTTTTCTTCTTCGGTGTATCTCGGTGTAGAAAAAGAAGAAGAGAGAGCAAGGAAGTGAGAGATCCTTCTTATAAGTTAAGACGATCAACTGGTGTATATTCCTTAAGTTGTAAAATCATGTGCAACTTCGTGGACGTAGACAATTTGCCGAACCACATAAATTTGTGTGTTCCGTTGTGGTATTTTTTCTGGTGTGAATTTTCTCATTCGATTTTTTATTTCATTGTCGAAAATTGTTCTTCTATTTTATATACAAAAACTCACAACAACTTGTATCAGAGCTTTGTTCGGATATGAGGAAGAATGATGGCTGCAGGCTGCAGATGAAGTGAAGGGCAGATGAAGTGAAGGTTTCAGGGATTGAGAAATTTGATGACACAGATTTGGTTAATAGAGAATGCAAATAGAGGACTACCTCTATGGGAAGAAACATCATCATCCGTTATTAGAGATAAGACCTGAAAGGATAGATGAGGCTGAATGAAATTTGTTGGATCGACAAGTTCTGGGGGTTATTCGATTGACCCTATCGAGGTTCGTTGCACACAACGTTGTCAAAGAGAAGAAGACTGTAGATCTCATAACAGCCTTATCAGATATGTATGAAAAGCCACCGGCGAATAACAAGGTGTACTTGATGAAAAAGTTATTCAACTTGAAGATGGCAGAATGTGTTTCTGTTGCTCAACACCTGAATGATTTCAATACTATCACAAATCAATTTTCGTCTGTTGAAATTGATTTTGATGATGAGATACGTGTGTTGATATTGTTGGCATCGTTGTCAAATAGTTGAGATGTCATACATATGGCATTTAGCAGTTCTGCAGGTAAATTTAAACTAAAATGTGATGATATTTGTGATTTGATTTTGACTAGGTGTGCAAAAAAGATTCTGGTGAGATCTCAGGTTGGAGTTCGGCACTGAATGTTGATTTCAGAGGAAGATCACATGACAAGAACTCAAATAGAGGGAGATTAAAGTCAAAGTCTGGCGAGTAGACAATCTGCTGGAATTGTGGTAAGGCTGGCCACATAAAGAGGAACTGCAGGAATTCCAAGAAGATGCATAATTATAGCGCAAATGTGGTATCTGAAGAAGTACATGATGCACTATTGCTAGCAGTTTATAGTTTTGTTGATGATGGAAGTGAAGATGAGAGTAGGTCTGGGGCACCTATTCATATTGTTCCATAGATAGATAATGGATAACCACAGAGCTATGAAGAAATCTCGCAAGATGAAAGTTCGAGCAAGTGAAAGATGACAGAACTTCCACTAGGGAAGAAGACATTACACGAAAAGTGTGTATAACGGGTGAAAACTGAGCATGATGACATTAAGAGGTACAAAGTTAAACTTGTTGTAAAAAGTTTTCAGCAAAGACATGATATTTCCCATGCAGTGGGAGTTGTAAGCAGATACAAGAGTAACCCAGGAAATAGATTGGAGGTGCAAGACTATGTGAAACTTGTTCTTATGTTGACAAAGGGTGTTACTCTTGAGAAACTAAAGTTGTGCACAGCTTCAGTTGGTCTTCTGGTGTTAAGAAAAAGGGCTTTGAGTTGCAGAGGTGGAGGATTCACGTTTAAAGAAAAAAGGTAACGCTGCCAGTGAAGGATATCAGTTCGAGGAAGAAGACGTTGTAGACTGTGTATCGGTCTCCACGGGAGATTTATTAGCTGGAGCCCGAACCCACGAACCGCTCCATGCTCTTGATTGCGAGAAGTCGTGACATTCCGCACAAACTGTTCCCGTGATTTGTCGTTCGTGAATCGTCACGAACGACTCGCCTACCATTCACATCTCCCGTCACTTCCTAACCGTTCCCGCCTCCTCTTCGCAGAACCACGTCAATCTGTGTGTTCCGCTGTGCTACTGTTTTCTGGTGTGAATTTTCTCATTCTATTTTTCGCTTCATCGTCGAAGATCGTTCGATCGTTCTTCTATTTTTTCTTCTATTTTATATTTATATACCACAACAATGTCATGAAATGCTCTTTGAGTTGGTTTAATCAGGCTATCTCTCTGCACTTGTGATTTTGGAGAAGCCCATGAATTACCACCGTTGCGACAACGCAGCTAAACATGAGATCGAGCTTATCCTTTAACTCAGTTTTGATACCACCATACTTAGATTTTTTAGCAGTTAGTATGACCTACCTTTCGTACAATGAAAAAGAGAAGTCACCACAACAATTGCACTGAAATATTTTAGATTGAATGATCTTACATTTTGTCCAATTTATCGTACCTTTAAATCTTCCTTCCACCACTTAGGTGATGCATCAATGATGCTCTTTATGCGATCCCAACCAAGTCCGATTGATCCTCTTTTGACTGTCTTCCAAAATTTTTAATCTTTTTTTAACTGGTCGAACTTGTTTTTTAACTATATTCCGTCAAACAATCTATCTTTTCTTTCTTGAAAACTTTTTTGCAATATTTTTTGAACCTTATTTGCTAAAATGAATTGTTGGTCTATTTACTAACTCAATTTTACGCTAACATGTCTCAAAAAATCATTTTGGTATCATTTTCCCAAACAGCGAATAACGTGTTGTCCCTTCTGTTGCCCATTTGGTCTTGCATCTATAAGTTCAAGGGCTATCTCTCTGTACTTTTATTTTCATGGAAAAGTAGCAAGTCTCAACATTCTTTAAAAAAGCCACCATCACCGTTCATGCAGTCAAACAAAAGTAAGATAATATTTAACGTTGGTTAAACAAACGAGGCCCAACATCTTCACGTTGAAGTCTTTTTTCAATTTTTAAGAAAAACACCACAAATTGCATAAACAAATATGTAATAAAATGACAAATTTAAATCATAAGTATGAATAGAAGAATTTTCCAATTTTTCCAAATACACCTCCATCTTCCATGCACAATAAACAAACTTTTGGCATTCAAACCAGAAGCCCAAAGTGAAGAACTGCACATGTTGTGTGCAAACTGACCAAATAAAACAATCACCTTTATGTGCAATGTGATCAAACAAACCTTAAGCATTCAAATATGAATTTCACTTGTTAGAAGGAAGATATGAAAAAATATATGAAACATGTGGCTAGGTAAATGTCCACAATTAAAGAAGATAGAAGAGAAATTTTCATAATACATCAATAACATATTACGCAGATAAAACAAATATCA